GTAACTATCATTGGCTTGAGGATTGATCTGCGGGACACAAATATTTAGACGGGGAGGAGTTAAGACTATCGACAATCTAAGGAGGCTGGAAAGCCTCGTAACAATTTCGAAATCTTTCGCTCTAACGGTGTACTAGCAACTTAGCTCGCTGATCATGATATATGTACATATATACTTTACGAGGTGGTCACGCTCCATTTCGCGAAAGTTGTGTACTCTAATTGTTTGAATGTTTAACATTTCAGAAGATATCGAATAAATATTGTAATTTTTTTAAATAAATAATTTATTATTACGAAGATCTAGTAATGTATAAAACAAAATCACGAATATTTTCAACGAATCCATTAATTGGCTGTTTAAAATATATTTTGCAAACAATATTGATATTTTTATTTTACTTGGATTCAACGCCATTCATTTCGAAGAGCCTGAACTTTTGCTGTGTTGCAATACGAATTCGTTTTATTTGCAAATTTATATATGAAATAGGTAAGAGTAACTTCTTCGGAAATAAGATACCCTAAATGCATTATCATTACCTTATTTATTAAAAGACGCCTAAAGTACCCGCCATTGCCGCTGTTTTTAATTCGGTAACTCATCATTTACAATTCTTTCGTTACGTTACCATTTCATGTGCCATTTCGAATTGTTATAAATTATTGTTTTTCATTATTAAACCTAATTAAAGTCTATTCTCAGCAATCAGGTTTGTCATTTTAGCATTTTGCACAAAATCGTATAATTGATGTGTGTTTAAACTGTGTGCGACTTTTATATACACGTTCTTAAAATTTTTACGTGATTTTGAAATCTTACATATGTACATATATGTGTGTACACATCAACCATGTAGGTATACTTAAAGTCCTTAGCAAATATTCTGGTAGAACAAAGTACAAGTTGACTCGGGCACTACTTCAATTTTCGATGTATACAAATATGTACATAAGTTCTCACACACATGCACACGCGCGATTTATCTAACAAAATAAAATTTGTCTGAATATATTTAATATTCACGAGCACATTCATAATTTTTAAAATGATTGACAAATTGATTAATCCATGTGCTTGTCGGACCCCAATCCCTGAATATGAATAAATTTTATTTTCTTTCCCATATAATGATGTTTATGGTGCAGTTCGCCTTGTTACCTTCATTGCCTTTTAATCTGTATATGAGTGTCCCAGTTTTCTTCAAAACTATGATATTTTTCTGAGTCACAAATTAGAGTATTAAACAAATAATAAAACACATTTAGCACTAAGACGTATGCGATGCATTTTGTACACTAGAACAAGCTCTAGTAAACAAATACATGTATACTTAATTCCACACTTGTATATCTGTGCTTAGCGCATGCGCCAGCTAACTAACTTCTGCATGTTTCGATAGCTGCATTGAATGAATATCGAATTCCAATGGCTGTCCAACTCCTAAAAATGAAAAATGTAGTAGCACTAACCAGACAACCAGTGTGCAAAACGCTTTGCACTACGTGTCCGGTCTATGTGTTGTCTGGTTAGTGGTAGTAGCAGTAATATTACCATTATTTCCTAAGCCTGTAGCCTTGGCCCTAGACTCATTCATGCGTTCGTTAAAAACGATGCGTGAAAAATAACCAGATGATAAATTGAGTTAAGCAAGCCAGAAAAGTGTCAGAGTTAATCAATTTAGTATTTTTTAATTTGCCCTATTGTCTATCGATCATTTGACATTATTACGGGTTGATATTTACTTAAGTTACTTATAATAAAATCCTATTTGAAAAATACTTCGCTTACCACCATTACATCCCTGATATTTCATACTCACCTTTCTCGATCTCAAAAGTTCACTGGGGCTTCTTACTCGTAAAGGATTATATTTGAACACACCACGCTATTATCACACCTTCTAAAATGTTCTTTCGCAATTAGATGGGTAGTCGATCCAAAGACAAGCGCCATAACCGTTCGGCAACGCTCAAACTTCCTCAGGGTTCAAGCACTAACCAGAGATCACAAAACGCTTTACACTACGTGTCCGGTCTATGTGTTCTCTGGTTTGTGGTTCAAGTCTAGGTCATATCGTGATTCTCGACTGATCTGCGTTCTTGATAAATATAAATATATGTCGTTTTAGTGTTGAAAAAGACGCCAGTCTTTCGTGCTAACACTGACCAAACAGTGGTAATATGTATTATTCTTTACATAGAGTTTCATTCCAACTTTATAGTAAAATGAGATGTTTAACCAAAAATTTGAAAATTTAGTAATATTTGGAGTCGGTATTGAAAATATTACTAGAAATTAAAAAACTTCATAAATACGGACGGATGGACTTACATAGCCCTAATCAAGAATATATATACTTTATACATTCTGCCCCCACAGACCCCACAAAGTATATATATTCTTGATCAGGGCGACGAGCTGAGTCGATTT